TTGGGTGGTGGGCAGTGGGAAGGAAATTGGGAGAAGGGAGTGGATGTAAATGCCATTAAACTATGTTTTATGAAAATCATAAAAATTCAATAAAAAAAATTTTTTTAATTTAAAAAAAAAAATTTATTGATTTTTTGTGTGTATTTCATACAGAACATCTCAAACAATCTTAATAAGAGCTATTGGTTCAGTGAAGATGCCTCACTAATCTCTGTAAAAGCAGAGTGTATGTCTACTGATCAGTTAACCAGAGAAGCCCAGGTGCTCGGGAGAGAGGAGACCACATGTCTGCTGAGCAGTTAACCTGTGAACATAACCTGATGGGAAAACAGGGACAGTTTTTAGTGACACCTGTGACAACACCCTACAACTTCATAACATCATTGTCCTAATCTTTATGTTGTGGCCTTGAACAGAGATGCAAGGTTATTTAAGGATCCACAGTGTGTTACAGAGTTCATTCTATAACCAACCCCTGACTTGAATGTCAAAAGTTAAGGAATAAGTCCAAAAACTAAATATTTTAATATTTTTATTTTATATTTTCTAAAACATGATGAAATTATATGAATGTCCATTCTGCAGTAATTGTACTGAACTAGCCCTATTCTTCATAGAGAATGTGACCTCAAAAAATAAGAACATGTATTTTAAAGGAGGAAACTGCTATTAAAGAAAAGCAACAACAAAAAGAACCAAGTGAAATTTTAGCTTTTGTAAGGACAACTTATTTTCTTTAAACAAATACTAAAATTTTCTATCATGTAATAGTTTAGAAATATCCCAGGCAAAGTAATTAGAGTTTATAGCTTGAAAAGGTTCAATGGTCACCACTTGGAGCAGTTGGATAAATCTTGTAGGTGGACCTTTATTAATTTGTTTAAAAGATACACCTTTAAATAGTTAATGGGTATAATATGACATATATTTACTCGATTATACAAAAAGTGACCTTTAGTTCTTGCTTAGCAAGGCAGGGAAAATTCTAAAATGAAGTAATTTCAGCTGATTTATTAACATATACAAGACTGCAAAGACCTGAGAAAACAGGTGCACTTAGAGAATTACAAGTAGTGTAATTATCTTTGATTTCCAGTGTTTAAGGTGGTTTGCAGGAGACTGGGTGGGCTGAGCCAATAAATAACATTGTTAACCATAGTAGAGAATTTGGACTTCAAATAATGAATTACTGAAATTATTTTATGCAGGAAGGAGACATATCATGTTTGTGTTTTCGAAGGTGGAACCAGGAAACACTTACGGATATATGGAAAGGAAATGGCTCAATAAGGATGCTACAGAGTCAGGATGACACAGAAAGAATGCTAAAGTAAGAGTGCTACAGGGAAACAGAGTTCCAGGGGAAATGTTTCCAGGTTGGCATGGGAAGCAGTTCAAGAGCACTGAAATAAAGACACAAGATTAAGAACCCTATAATAGCACACAACTGATAGGGTGACAATGGAAGCTCTATAGCTAAGGCTCGGGGAACATTGCAGAAGAGGAAATGGAAAGACTGAGGCATCAAAGTACTAGGCTACATTTAAATATTATTAAATAAAAATATGGGAGAATATTATGTTGGACTAAAGATCTGTACAAAACTCCAAAGACCAGACCCAATACAAAATATGGAGTTGGGCTGGAGAGATGGCTCAGTGGTTAAGAGCACTGACTGCTCTTGCAGAGGACACGAGTTCGATTCCCAGAACCCACATGGCAGCTATGGACTGTCCTTAACTCCAGTTCCAGGGGAATCCGAAGCCCTCTTCTGACCTCCATGGCATTGCATGACATGGGTGCGCTCACATACATGCAGGCAATACACTCATACACATAAAATAAGAATAATAAGTAAAATATTAAAAAAATATGGAGTTCCTCATGGTACAAACTGATAATCAAATTAAAACTTTAAGGAAGTAAATAGATTTCAAAATAGACTCCCTTTTCTAAAAAAAATACAGTTTACCTCAGTCAATATAATAAGAAAGTATTGTCTATTTTAATAAGTATTTTAAGATCAATCTGACAAAAATCAATCTTTTTTTCCATTGCTGTATTTCCTCATTGTCATATGATACAATCCACTGTTCTGATGGTGTTCAGCAGGAGCATTCATTCTGTGTGGATTCATGAATTATAAAGAAAGGTCAAACAGGCCTATAGCTAAATTTGTTGTGATTTTATCCTATGATAGTGCATGTACAGAGAATAAAATGATTATTAGAGTCAATCAAATGAACATGTCATTCATTTCAGAAGAGGATATTTTTGTGGTAAAAGCACAAGAAATTCCATCTCTTGGCAAATGTTCAATACTTTGCAGACTTCATGCTTCATATTACATTTGTAAACATACTATTTGTACATTATTGGAGCTTTGCATGCTTTGGACATCGCCCCTTCTGCTTTCGCCAGCTCGTGCTAATCGTCATTCGGTTTCCATGTATTCTAATACAACCAGGTGCAAAATAATTTACTTATTTCTGTTACTGTTGTCTATTATTTAACTAAACGAGACTGTAAGAGCTACATAGATGAAGATGTGATTTTACTTTTTATTATTTGATTCTAATCTCTAGTACTCCTTGGAAAATAATTGATAGTCAATAATGTCAATTAATTAATACTGTTTATTTATTTATATTTTATGTGTGTAAGAGTTTTGTTTGCATGTACATTAGCTCACCATGTGACTGCAGTGCCCATGGAGGCCAGAAGAAGGGGTCAAATCCTCTGGAACTGGAGTTATAGATGACTACTAGCCACCATGTAGGTGCTGGGTACCAGAGTCTGGTCTTCTGCATGACTAGTCAGTGTTCTTAACCATTGAGTCATCTCTCCAGACCAGATTAATACTTTTAACATAGCATCTATTATAGCACATGAGTTCAATAAATAAATGCTATTGTTACGGCATTAGTAATAAAATGGTGCTGGAAACAGAATGGGATTCTTGGTTACATTTGTATGCCTGAGACTCAGAATAGGAAAATGAGCTGGATACAAATGGGCATTGAAAAAAATAAACCAAATAAATACCGTCTACTTCAGGAAGAGTAGTAAGGGTGTAAATGTCTATGACACAAGAAGTTAGAACTGAGTGATGCACTTATATTGGTTGACATTATAATCCCAGGAAAGGTACTGAAGGAGAGTCCAGAGAAAAAGGACAGAGGTAGTGGAGCTAAGTCAAAGTCAGTTAAAGATGGACAAGACCCTGCCTCAGAAAGAAAGAGAAAATGGTCAATAAATGTTGAATTTCAGAATAGACAGCTTTATAGACATGATGCAATACCAAATGTTGATACAAATCTTGATAAACCCTCTAGTGATAGCTGATGATTAAAATAACTCTTAAGAACCAAACGTATATGAATGCAGCAATGAAAAGGCTTGCAAGATTTCTGAAGGCAAATATATTCATGTAACACATTATAAAGCCCTGATTTTTCTCAAGGAAAGAAGCAATGGAAAAGTAGAGGAGTCTCATTTCATGTTTGACTTTATATGACATAACCTTTCAGAATGAGTTCCCATTGCATAGGGGCTCCACCTGCAACTGGGTGGTAGAAAGACAGATCAGATTGTTTGTGAGAATTAAAATCTGAAGTCAGGGATGCATGTAAGTCTGGAACATTACTGGTTTGTTTATTTTTTTATTTTTTATTTTTTTGGTCTTTTTGAGACAGGGTCTCCCTGTAGTCCCAGCTGTCCTGGAACTCACTATGTAGACCAGGCTGGCCTTGAACTCACACAGATCCACCTGCCTCTGCTTCACACAGATCTACCTGCCTCTGCCTCCCAAGTGCTGGGATTAAAGCCGTGCACCACCACAAAGAAAAAGAAAAACAATACAAAATTTCTAGAAATCAATTTTCTTAAAGTAACATTTTAAAAACATAAAAATGACACAGTTCAATTTAAAATCAAAAGTATTTTTGACTCAATAAAATCAATTTCCTTGCTTTATAGACTCCTAAAAAAATCTTACATGGAAGTAAAAAAATTAAAATTAGTTACTGCTACTTTCAGCAATATGAGGTATTGCCTTTGCCTGCATTTCAGTGATATGAGAAAATGAAGAGTTTATAATAATTTTGTTGAATAAAGCCATTTGACACAGAACTAATATTTTACAGATAATTACAAAATGAATCATAAGTGGGTGCAAATTGAGTAATTTGATTAATTTCTCAGTTGACCTTTATAAACGTATTTGTATAACATTTCTTAGTTGTGATATTTTTATTATATAAAACCAAAGTTCCTACCATTTAATTCCCATGCTGTTTTCAAAAGTGTAATAGTGAAATATGTGCAGTGGATGTAAAATCATTTATTTCAGGAAATATCTTTCCCTTTAGAAACAATTTGGATTTTAAAATTGAATATTGTCTTTGAATACCTGCTTCTATCCCTATTAAGATTCTTCTCAGAATTACTTTCCCTTGTATTTTTCCATTTCTGTATTTGTTTAATTAAGCAATTGATTTGCAGGTAACTAAATTTATTGTTTAATAATTAAAAAAAAAACAGCTAATGACAGTGTATAACTTTTCTTAAGATTCTTGTCATCACTTTAGGTAGCCTCTGACCTAAATGAGAGAACTCAATGTTGAAGATATATAATGTGCATCCTTAGCACAAATGGCCGTAAGAATAACTTCATTATTCTGGGAAGCTTCATCTATAAAATATGTAAAATGTACAAGTGTCCTGCCTATACAATTTCTGGTAAGTACAGTATGACTAAGTGATTAAACCTGAGTCAGCTTCAGTCCAAGCACATCATTCTAAAATGCACAGCGTGCATGAAGGCCAAAGGAATTATTGTGGGCAAAGGTGTTTTGCTCTGGAGCGATGATGTAGGTTAGGCTGACATAGTTTTACCTTGACTGGTGAAAATTAATTTCCCTTAATATATAACAATATAGTGTACTAGTTGTCACAATACCCCCCAGAAATAGATATCCAAATCACAAGGACAAACTCACCAATACCACCGGACAGATTGTGGTGGGCGGTAAAATATGGTCCTTCAAAGGTCCACAGTCGCATTCAGGCTTCAGATGAGAGGCACATTTATTATGCAGCTAGGAAAGAAGAAGAGGGATAATATCACATTGGGACAACAGTAGAAAGCATGATGCAGATTAGATCTCAACTGAGATATAACACATCTATTGAAAGTATATTTAAAGAATTATAAGAACAGGAAACAGGTTCATAAGGAGATTCATAGATTTTCCCCATATAGCTCCTTCAATAAACCAATAAGCAACTTCTAGGACATAGTTCATATATTTTCTGATTCCCACAATTTTTATATTAAAAAGTTCACTTCAAGTTTTCAAGTTTTACATCAAAGAATCCTGATTTTGTTGACAAAACAAATTATTGCCCATCACAGGATTTCCTCTGCTTATTTGTTAGCTTAATCTAGAAGCTACTGTGCTCTGTGGAAGATTTTTTTTTTTTTTTTGACCCTCCTGTTTTCTCAAAGTCATTCCAAAGTGCACAGCTCAGTATGGGGCATAATTGATCCCATCATTAGTTCTAACTTCGTAATTCAATATGTAAATGTAACCCAAGATTCATCTCAGTAGGAGCAGGATATAAATAAAAGAAGATGATTATGATTATAAAATGTATCTTTATATTGTATTTACCAGCTCGACATTAAGTTAGCATGTAATCATAAATGTGCTATTTATTTTATAATATGTATGTATCAAAGCTGATATTTTTATCAACCTTGATCACAAGTTTAAAGTGTGTGTATGTCGTAGTGTATTAAGTAGTGATGTTTTTACACCAAAGTGATGGGTTTTATCACAATCAAGGATTTTATTAAAATAATACCCAAAGACAACTAGGAATTTCTCCCTCCTCCACTTTATAATAGCTCAACATGAAATAGTCATACTTTAGGAAAATTATATATTTTTAACATGGTAATGTGTCTGGTTCAAAACAAAAAGAAACATACCACAGCATCTTTCAGTTTGAACCAAAGAGCCACCTATGAGAGCCTTGGCTGTATTAACTCACCTTTTTAAGCAGTTAATTAGCAACTGAACATAGGAATCTGATGGATGTTGATTTACTGTTGGTGAAGGAACTGCACTGAAGAAGTATTATTCCTATAGTCCTAAACTCTAACACATTTGTCACACAGAGTCCTTGCTCTGAGTTCTAATATAGTGTCCATTAGGCTGTATTATAGGAAATAAAAGTATCTTGTACACATTCATCCATAATTAGCAGCTCTGTCTCACAGTAGCAGACAAAGTTTTCTATTAAAAAAAGATGGTTTAAGCTTCTTATTAAGCACTACTGATCTTTGCCAAGAGGTAAAAGGTATTAATGATAAAGAAACAGTTGAACCCTTGTATACAATAAAAAAAAGCTTACAGTCTGATTAAGCAAATAAAAATGCAGTATTCTTAAAATAAGGGCAAAAAATATCATTAGTTCATTGGGCTTATTGTCTTAAATAAATTATAGTCCTGGATATTTAGATTTATAGGTCAAGGGTGAGGTGACTGGGGTCAATACCCCTCAAAATAAAATAATATGGAAAAGTCAAAATCTTAAAACCTGGTATCTGTGAATGTGATTCTTTAGAAGTAAGGTCTTTGTAGATGTACTCAGTTTAGATATAGCCATATGAGATTAGGTTGATTGATCCATTGACTGGTGGCCTTATAATGAGAAGGTAATCTGGATAGAGTGATTGAGACAGGAAAAGGAAGGCATGTGACAACTGAGACTGATATCACGTCTCAACAAAACAAGGTATGCCAAGGATTTCTAACAACTACTAGAAGCTAGGAAAAGACTAAGGATTCTTCTCCAAAGCCTTCAGAGGATGTATGGCCTAATGACATTGTTATGTTAGAGTTTTTGTCTCCAAGATGATGAGAGAATAAATTTTGGTTTATTTAAAATATCTCGGTTGTAGCATTTTGTTAGAGAAGCCCTAGAAAACTAATACACCCAAACACTAGGAAAATTGAAGCAAAGCCAAAGGTAGACTCTGTGTCTAGGGCTCTTCTGGTCCCTTGGCTGCCAAAGAAATGGAGCTTTTACTCTGACTTTGTACAATTACTTTAAAATGGAGAATGCAGACTCTAAAAAAACTCTGGAAGAAGTGAATTCTAATATGGCAACCCTAGTGTGTATGGAGCGAAGTTGCACTAAATTGTTACTCTTTGGAACACTCTAAAACCACATGTGTGAAGGTCAGGAAGGGGCATTCAGCCTCAGGCTAGCACTGCTCATAGATGCCATCTGAGAGACATACGTCCTCTGTCATACCGTCTCATGTATTTCCAACATAAATAATAAATAAAGTCAATGCCAGATTTTTGCATGTTGCCCATGTAAGAAGAACAAAAGACCTAGAATCAATCAGTTGATAAAGGGACTGGATGGTGTGATGGTTTGATTCTGTATTGACATCATGTAATACTTGCCTTTGTAGAGATAAGTAAACCCAGAATGGCATTTTCTGCTTAACTGCCAGTTTTCTATATTCATGAGTTTTGTCTAACGCAACTTGTGGCAATCTTGCAGCAGCATCGGCATGTAGCAAGGTCTATAAGTTCATTTAGCAATCCATCCACTAGCAAAACAGAGACATACAAAGAAACTCATCCTAAGCAACAGGTCTGTAGTCATTAAGCATATGCAATAATATCTTGTTTCTTTTATGAAGACTAGAATCTGGCATCTGGTAAATATATTCTGGTGGCCATCTACCTCACAAATTTTGGACAGAAAAGCCAAAGCTGTGGGCATCATGTTAAAAGCACTGATCATTTTACAAGCTGTGAGCCCAACTACACAGTGGGTATCTAGGCATCATATTGCTGAGAAATGCTCTTGACAATAAAATATAAATTTAAGAAAGCCAGTGAGGAAATAGTTATAAACCAAGACTACCAAGCATGAAATTATAGACCATGTTTGCTATAAAGTTAATATTTCTCTAAATTAAAAAATCAATTAAAAAGGCAGGTATCAACAAAATAGAAAACACATAATACAATTAAATTAGAAAAAATGAATTTTCTTCGGGTTTGGGGTTACATCTGGAAAGGTGTATTTGTTACTTTTCAGTGAGAAGTCACAAAGGAGAGACTGAGAACATCATGAAGAATATATTGTTGCTCTAGCTTGAATAAGCCTCTTACATCCCATGGGTTGGAAGCAATCCCCAATTTCAAATGTGGATGGTGTTTGGGGAGAGAGCCTTAGTTAGGTGAGGTCAGGTAGATAATCCATGACAGAACCAGAATCCATGTATGAAAAGGGAAAGAGACCCAATACTGAATGTTTCCTTTGTCTTGACATGTAATGTTATCTGCAATACTGTGACTCAGCAAGAAGCCCTCAGATGATGTGTGCCCTTGGCCTGGAAGTCCTTAACTATGAGAATATAAGGAATGGATCTTTTTTCAATAAAAATTACCCAGTCTGTGGTATTGTGTGATAGCAACACAAAATAGATTAGGACAGCTTGTTACTGTGCTGTTCCATCCGTAAGAACATAAGAAAAAGACACAGCAAGTCCTTCTCTGTGTCAGCATGATGCGGAAGACTAACAGCTGTCTTCAAGCCCAGGCCTCAAATCAGTAAAAACAGGCACAGAGGTCCTCCTTAAGAACAGAAATGAACCAGAGATTGATAATTCCTGCCTCTTAAGCAATTTTTCAAATGTACACCAGAAAAAGGGGATGATCACCACATTAAAAATCCATTTGTAAATGATATCCACAGCTATCTTTGTATTCTTTTAAAGGTGAGACATAGAAAAGCCAAGATCATTTTTATATTTTGAGAAATTGCCACTCAGGGTAACAGATACAGGCTCACATCTAGTAAAGTCATATAATATGAACCAACTTTTCTTGGATTGGAAGTAAGCAGTTGGAAATAACTTTAGAGTTTATGACAGCTCACAGTAGCACCTAATTTAGAGCCAGATCTATGTTTATTAGAAAAATCTGTCTCAGTTTTGGAAGAAAAGTGTGTGTGTGTGTGTGTGTGTGTGTGTGTGTGTGTGTGTCTGTGTGTGCGATTATGGAATAGAGTTGAGTTGGTCAGAGAAGAAAGGAATAACAATGATTCATTAGAATGTAGAGACTAGGAAGGGAAGAGAAATTAATCATTTTTAAAAAGAAAAACTTGGTAGCTTGATTTGAAGGAACATATTCAGAGGTGATACTTTTCAGTGGCCTCAATATCTTCAAATTCAGAGTATTTCCTCCATGCTCTCATGTGCTAAAGCATAAACCTTTCTATGACTTGGAAAACTTTTAAATATCATTGTTAGGAGTTTAACATTTTCACTAAAAGGGTATCCTTATATAATAGCTAAAGTTAATTAGCCAGATATATAAAACAGGCATTCTCTGCCAGACATGGTAGCACGTGCCTTTAATCCCATCACATAGAAGGTAGAAACAGGCAAATCTCTGTGAGATCGAGACCAAACTGGTTTACATAGCAAGTTCTAGGTCAGCTGGAGCTACAGGGAGACCCTGTCTCAAAGAAAATTAAAATAAATTAAATTACAATTAAAATATGGGCATTCTCTTGTGAAGCCCAAATAAAATGTATTAACCTCACATCCTGGTGATTCTTGTCTGAGCAGGGATCACTTTTCTCAACCAGAAGCAGCTCAGTATGGAGGGTAAACCCAATGTCAAGGAAGCACTCAGCAGATATCAACAGGGGTTGGCAGTGTGTTCTTAAGGGTGGCAGGACATCAGCAAGAGAAGGAAGAGGAACCCAAGGTGAATACTGGGCCTGGCTCTAAAGACCGAACTCCAACGCTCGGAAAATAGTTGATCAAGTGGGAGAAGATGGTTTTTCACTCTTCTTTTTTTGGCTGGTTTTGCTTTTTAAATAAGTAGCTTTGCACATGGAGAAAAAAACTTGGTTCTTAGAATTGAACTACATCTGTATCAGGTTACTAGTCCAAGTTATCACAAGGACTCACTGAAAACCAAGGAAAAAATGGACTTTTGTCATTAGCAAGTTAAAATTTTACTTACGTGTTGAGGTAATGTATTTCAAGAGACACTGAAATAAAACTTAACTATTACATGCACTCGAAATTCAATATTTAACATTGACAAGATCAGTATATGAGCCAATAAAATGAATCTGACGACTTCTCTAACACTGGCGCACTCCCTCAAAAACTTTGGTTGATTAGAAAAAAAGGTATTTGAGTATCAACCTGTAGCTGGTAACTAAGTATGTAGGGGTACAGCAGTGGCAGCATGCAGACAGAAAACCACTGAAGAACAAATCCAGTGAAGACATGGAGTAAAAGTAGAAAAAAATAGTGGAAGAAGAAAATAATAACATCAAACCATGTTAAGAAAGATGAAGAACTTCACTTGGGGCCTCATAAGAATCTAAGACCAGTGCATTCAGAGGAATGGGATGAGGTAAATAACAGGTGGGGGTTCACATTTATCTTCCCATGGGTTTGTCAGCAGACACTCAGTTCCAGCAGGAGAGTCTGTGGGGAAGGAAGAGAGAAGGACATGTGCCTCGGCTTGAGTCTAAGCACTGTAACAAACTGAAAACCAAGTTGAAGTTAGGGATGGCAAGCCACATTTTTTATCAGAGAATTACGTAGGCTGATGAACAAGCATATCGTAACAAATTTGTATTTCCAGAAACTCTTTCTGGATGGTATGCAGCCTGCATAATAGGAAAAGTACCTCCTGTCAAGATTCTGACTCTAATCTCGCCAGGAGGTGCTAAGAGCTTGCACTAGAGTTGGGAACATGGAGACAAAAACTCAGATTGGGACACATATTTAAAGAACCGATGTGAGGGCTTAGTAATAGGCTATATGTCAGAGATAAAGATGAGAGACTAGGACAAATCAACTTCCAACTATTGCCAATAAATGGAGGCATGGTAATAGGATCATCTCTAGGGTGAGAGCAGATTTGCTGTTCTTTCAGAACACAAACTCTGACCATGGCTCAAAAAATAGTGAGACTTGGGGCCACATCATTCTGGATGTCCTTAAAAGTCTCAGGTGCTACTCTGACGTAGACTGGGCTGTTTCCAGTTACAGACAGTTCTAGAGATGAGACAGAACCATTACAAGTACCACCCATGAAGTGCCCCATAGGCAGCAGGGCTGCAGTTAGGCGCCCATGAATATCTACTTCCCACTAAGTTGCTAGTTAAGTACCAAGCATGTACTATGTATAAGATCCTTTCCTAAATGTATCTATACTGACTTTTTAAACCCATTTTTCCTAGAAACACTTCTATAAGATAGTTATTATTAACTCCTTTTTACAAGTAAAAAATTGGCCCAAATTGATTATGCACATGACTACAATGGCATACCTTGTAAATGAGAGAGACCATTTTAAAAGCTCTGGTTTTCAAGCCAGTCTTGGTGGCACATGTCTTTAGTCCCAGCACTGGAGAGGCAGGGGAAGGCAGATATCTGTGAGATGGAGGCATGCCTGGTCTATATAGTGAGTTCCAGGCCAGCTGTCCCCCAAAGACCAAAATAATCTGGTTTTCTTTAGTGATGTCATCAAGTAATTTTTAAAAAGCATGTAAACATGTATACACGACATAACAGCTTTTACAAAAACCAAAAGAAGCCAAGCTTCACCCTCCATTTCTCTCTGTTAAGTGATTTGTCATGGACTCCATTGATGGGTCCCTGATGAAGCTCACCATTTATAGCACCACAGCCTAGCATTCTCTTGACTCACTGCGTGCCAGCAGCACTTCCTGGAAAGTGTGAGGATAACACTCAGTTCTTTAGAGGAACTTGCTAATAGTGGGCATCATTACTTAAGAGAAGATCAGCCTTAGATTAAAATTGCAATCCCTTCTCTCTCCCCATCCTAAATGCTAAAGCTATCATTACATATTACCAGCCTCACTCCTAAAGTTTCTCTTAAGAAGATTATGAATCTTCTTGATATAAATAGCTTGATATAAATATTGTGCGTTATGTTTCATAAACTAAATAGCTATGAACATGGAACCCCAGAGGTTACAGCTTCAGCGAATAAGGCTGAAGACAGACAGAAAGTTCAGAATTTAGAGAAACTTATAAGAGGATGTCCTGTTTTGTTTTGTTTTGCTTTGTTTCTTTGTTTTTGTTTTTATTTTCCTGACTCTGCTTAACCACTGGAGACTTTTCTGTTTGGGCTGATTTCCTGAGTAAAACTCATAGTTTGACTGACTTAAAACTTAGAGCTTTGAATCTATTTATGGTTTACGTTATGCTCTGCAACAGTGACAGAGCAGCTTCATGTATTCACTGATTTTTAGTATAAAACTGATTATAAGGGTAGTATTTTATGACATGAATTGAAACACGAAGTCCTTGCCTTTAAAAAGTATCATTTGTTCTGAGTAAAACCTTTTTCTTTTGGTTAAAAAAAAGGAGGATCTTCATTTCTTGTTGGGAGAAGGCCAGCATCAAGACCAAAGATAAATGTGAAACTGATGACAGGTATGGCTAGGTATTGATTTTAGACTTCCTGATAAGAACTTTTAGAACTAAAGAAAAGGAATGAGACAAACAAATTAGAATATAGTCAAGGAAAGAAAGAGTCTGAGCCATGGGAGAAGTGACCGCAGAAAAGCAGAGCAGAGGATCACAGAGACAAAGTGAGGGAAGGTGAGGACACCGACAAGAAAATTCCAAAAGCTCTTGTGTGAAAAGAGGCAGCAGACTAATTTTTGACTTTCATACTGAATAACCACTTATAAATTATTTTATAATAAATTGTTAGTTTGTTATTTTAAAATAAATGGAAAAGGAAATAAGAATTATATACCTGACATTGCATTTTCACTTTATAAAAGTAAAGAAATGAATTCTGATAGTCTGTAATTTCAGTTTATGCTAAAATTAAGGTAAAACCAGTGAAAGATAGGAGGTGGGAGGGAGCGGAAAGGAAAGTGACACAGTTCTGTACCTATATAGTCTTCAAACATAATTTTAATATGCATAGATTTTTAAAAAATGAAATTGTGGTGTTCTTAAAATTGAGCATTTGATATACTCCAGCAATTTATGTGCATAATTTAAATCATTGTTACACATTTTATTATACTAACCAAGCACTTAAAAAACTAACACTGTCTTTCATAATTGAGAAAATTTCCAAATGTAAATGTAATTTAACTAAGTAATAGTTGAAAATGATTGAAGAAAGTATGTGCACTTTTTAAAATATACTTAATTGCATTTTTGAAGTATAAGTCACAGTTTGTTTTTCTCATTATGCTCCGCGCGCATGTGTGTGTGTGTGTGTGTGTGTGTGTGTGTGTGTGCACTTAACAACACTGTTTAACCTCTAGGTTCAGGGAAGAAAGTTGAGGCTACAGAAACTGAGTTGCCTAACTTATACAGTGCCCCCTGATCTTCATTTGGACAAGTGTAAGAAAATTAGGTGGGAAACATGACTAATACAGTGATCCGTGAAAAACAGCAACAAACACCCTCCTGGCCAATATAGTGGACAGCAGGTCATCTAGAAGAAAACCTTTCCTTTGAATGACTTCCCAGAAATTAAACAAACATTACTGGTACCATCCCACAACTGCACTTATTCCAAAAGTGATATGAAGCTGCTTTGAAATCACCTTGGTAGTGTCCTAATGTATGTCATGAAAGACCAATGTATTTCTGATTCCTTAATTATCATTACTATTGATGATAAGCATTTCCATCAAAACCTCTTGTCTCCCAATTCAAGATGCAACTGAAGGAGGAAGGCAACATGTTGGGAGAAAGGGTTGGTTGAGCTCAGAGGAACACCAATATACAAAATATGGATAAAAGTGGCTTTTATTTGTAGTTTCTGACTGCTTTCTTAGGAACTCCAGGGGACATTGTGTGAAAACCATGCTATCCCTAAGATCAGTCCTACAATCTGGAGTCTAGAAGGCAAATGCGGCCCTTGAGCAGATGAAATAAGAAGCCTCTAAGCTTCATGCTGATTAATTCTACCATTTGATGCACTTCCAGGGCAATGCCATGAAAGCACATGGGACACACAGTCTGTAATAAAAAGGAAAGAGGGATTTGTCTGCACACGTTACTCACTGTGGTCTGACACCAAACACAATGAAGTCCAGTCAGGCCCTGGTAACATTTAACTGTCTTGTGGCACTTATCACACTTGGTTGGGCAGTTGCCTTCCACCCAGTAATGGTGCATGACCTGGAACAGAAGAGCAGTGTGGTAAGAGGAAGCATCCATGATCACTCTCCCAGAAAGTCTGCATGGCCAAACTTACATCTGTGTTCTTTTTGGACTTCACATAGGTCTTGATGCAGGAGGGAGGCGCTCTCGACACACAGCGCTCGTGGACTGTGTACTTACAGACTGAAAGGAAACAGGTACGCAAATTCAGAGCTAATCCTGTTCCTGATTGCAATTTTATAAGGAAAGAATGACATTAACAGAACCTCATTTCATATCCACTGCTCTCTAATCAATCCAATCAACCACATCAAGGAAAAGTCCAAGTCGACTGTTTTTACCATGGAATACAAAAGGCCAATTAGTACAGGAAATATTATGCATGTGAAAAACCAAGGCTCCTCTATCATGGCATAGCAGGAAATGCTTAATTAAATCAGTCCTCACTAAAATTTTTCACAATAATTCCCAGATGACAAAAATATTAAAGACAAATTGATGACTGCCAAATGGCTTGGTGTCATTTGCTAGAAGAAAGATCTATATTTCACAAAGTATAGGCATGAGAGCAGCTGGCGGCCATGGGAGTAAAAGCCTACAAGTTTATGCTATTTTGTCTATTGATTTATCTAAACTTTAAATGGCTGATGAGTCTATTTCTAGAGACTAGATGTCATCATCCATGCCAGGCTCAATGGAAGTTCATCCTTCATTTTCCATCACAGCATTGTTTGTCCAAAACAACAGCCTTCACTAAGCAACATGTGCAAGTAAGCAACAATTTGTTTTTATATGAAAGCATGAATTTATGCATATATACAAGCAAATGTATATGTGCATGTATACATATAACTGATGCCACAAACATAAAGCATGCACATTTTCTGGCATCTTCACATCTTTCATGGTACGACTCTAAATACAAGTGAGGTCATATATAGGCATTTTTTTAATAAAAGGCTGGTTCCAAATTAACAATTCAAAATTCATAAATATATAGAAGAATTTTTTTAAAGCAATCAGGTCTCTCAAAAGCAAACTACTTCCTGGAATATAAATGAAAAGCATTGAACATTTGCCCACAGCATTGATATAATAAAACTCTGAAACGTCCCGGTCTGAGAACTCTTTTGGTAGCATTAAGGAAGCATACATTCCCATTTCTCTATAGTGGCAGTCATGTCTTGAACATTGTGCTTATCACACTAATGAGCTTTTACAAGGGGATAAAACTCTCTTCCTTTACATAGCACCGCTCATCTGCTTTGAGAATTATCATTTAAAACCGGTATCTTTGAGAATTTCCTCAAACATATTTTGATCATATTCAGCCCCCCGCCCCATCTCCAATCTTATTCTACTACTGCCCTCCATTTCATACCCTCTATTGCTATCTTTTTTAAAGGCCTAATGAGTCTCATTTAAAATATTCCTAACATCTGAGTCTTCCATAATGTGTTCACTAACTTAAAAAGTTATAGATCTTTCAAAATAGTATTTCCTTTCTTGTGGAGCAGCTAGCTACATTTTCAGATGCGCCATCAGAAATTCTTTCTCTTATGCAACATGTGACAAATGCCATGTAATTTTACTAAAGTCTTTAAGTGCTTTAGAAGTTACGTACATAGACCTGGATGTGGTAGCAAACGCCTTTAGTCCCAGCACTCTGAAGGCAGAGGCAGGCATATTTCTGTGAGTTCAAGGCCAGCCTGTCTACATAGTGAGTTCCAGGCTAGCTGGGGCTAGAGGGAGACCCTGTCTCAAAAAGAGAAAAAAAAATTACATAACTATAAGACACTAAGCATGTTTTTTTTTATGCCAACTAGTACATCTAGAGAAAAGAAATTGCCAAGCAAGCTACATAGAAGAAAGGAATGTGGTTGAACTGCTGGATTAATGGAGAACTTCAGCCTTAAGTAAAGAGAGGGCAGAGTCCACTCTGCTTTAGCAACAAGCTCAGGAAATATAATATAGACTTTCTTCAAATAGATATGATGCAGATTTAAAAATACTAGGTGATTTCATAAACTATCGCATACCCTCTTAATAGTACTGACTTAATAGAATAAAATAAAACTTTCAAAAACAAGGGGACTGAAATCAATGCAATGGGCACAGCATAAGATCTAGCGATGCCTTGCACTCCAATATCCATGGCCCTATTAATATGTTCTTTATAGTAGCATGAAAAATAATGTGTCAGAGGGGCAGGGGACATGATTCAGCAGATAAAGCACTTGCCACACAAGTATGAGGTCTGGAGTTCACATCCTAAGAACCCACATAAAATTTTGTCCATCTGTGATCCCAATGTGGGAGGCTGAGACAGAGGATCTATCTCCGCAGCAAGCTGGCTAGTCAGACTAGCTGAAATGTGGCTTCGGTAAGAGATCAGTACATAAGTTGAAGAAGAACTGAGAAAGACATCTAATGTCAGCCTCAGACATCTATATGCACATACATACATGGTGCCCACACTCATAGGAACATTCATACACACATGCAACACACACACACACACACACACACACACACACACACACACACATACAACCTGCCTAATTCAGATATTTAAATTAAGAGGTCATTATCTGGATCGTGGGGTCTGGATCTGGGAGGGAAAGCTGAGCTAGAATTGTGAATGGGAGAGAGAGAGAGAGAGAGAGCCAGAGCCAAAACTTTTTCTTAATGTGAGTGAAAACCTATTTTTACTCAATTAATGTAACTCTTTTTAAAGTCTTGAAACAATCTTAAATCTCACACTAAGTCCATTATGAATAAAGTAGCTAACTTAGAAAAATTACAAAACATGAATAAGATATAAATATGAGATGCTGATGGAAATTGAAAAATATTCCAAGAAAAAGTGAAAAATATGAGTAAATGGAAATTAACTATTGTAGAAAGAAAGTAGGTAAAGAATGAGAAAATATCCTTAATTCTTTTTCAAAGAAATAACTTGCTAAAGCATGAGAAAGCTAAACTTGGAAAGACCTAAGATCTGAGAAACCTCAGGGAAACAAGCCCCAACAATCAAGGCCTGGGATATGTCTTGGGTGCCCGTGTACAAATAGGATTGCATGAACTCGGTTTCCTAAAGCAAAGTGATGACATCAGGCAGAGCCAGCATACTCACAGGAGCAGCAGAGGCCCTGCTTCCCCACACCAATCAGCATGTTCAGGCAGAGATTGCAGTAGGCAGGCTTGTTAAAGTGCTTGAGTCGCCACACATGCTGTCCGTCATCCTTCACATTCTGCACAGGACGTGAGAGAAACAGATTTCACTTAATGAAATAAACAGTAGAATCTGTAAGTGCCAATAAAGCTCAGAGCTGGACCAAAGCATCTGAAGACAATCTGTTACTTCATCTCTGACTTTCTAAGAGATCGCCACAGAGTCCAGAAAAACACGTGTTCTAGCCGAGGAAATGGTGAACAAATCTCAGATGCTACAGCAACCCACGAGAGCTTGTCTAATGTCAACAGCTCAACAGCAGAGCGCATACCATCATAAGAACCTGCCAAACAGAGCTCTCCCTAAACACATGGCTATGTCTGGCTCACCTTTGAATACCTCTTGCTTAGCACAATTCCATAAGCAAGTAACTGAATGAAAGAGAGAAAGGACTTGGGTGGAAGAGCCTGAGCAATGGAAACTTGTAAAGACTGTATTAACCCTTGTTTAGTAGTGGGAAATGCCAAGTCAGAATGAGGTTACTCGTTTTGCAAGGAAACAGGGTACACTGGCAGAAGTTACGCATATGGATATGAGTAAGACATTGTAGGACTTCCCTTGCTGAATCCTAATACAATTGTCATACCATATTCTTTATCAAATAATAAACGTAGAGACAGATGTCATTTGCTTATCTCTTGCAAAAATAGATGGCTTTGTTTGTTCAGAAAGATAGCAAAGGTATGAAAACTGTAACACTGTGTATACAACAATCACTATAATAATTTGCCGCACTAAAGCCTTGGGTTTGCCTTAGTTCATAGTTTTAGTGAAAGTGCTACATGGTTTACAATTCTAAGTAAATATACATAACATTATAGCTGTCAGCTAATTGGTATTTATTCACCTCTGTATTGTTCAAGATTAAGTAACAGGTGCTAATGTATGTTGAACTCCTTAAAAGAAGGCCAAAAATATTACAGGAATCTGTCATCTATCATCACTTTAGTTACCATCAGTTTGTTCATGAGTACACGACCTTCATACCTCATTCACCAATCAGCATGAAACTAAATTTCAGACATTACTCATTGATATTCTATTGATACCAAATAACTTATAATTTTTCAAGTTAGCAAAATTGCATAGTTCTTAAAATATACTCATCAAATAATATTTGAATACTTATTAGGTATTGAGGAACTAATTCTGTACAAGGGTAATAGAAACAAATGCAGTTCATCTTATTTCTATTGATAATAAAATATTAATAACAGGGCTTCTAACCACTCATCCTTATCCCAGCCAAGAGACAGGCTACCAGATTTATAACACTAGAGAACATACACAGTAACTGTTTCTCACATTAGAACTAGAAATGTCAAATTTGCAGCATAAAATGAAACGTTAATGAAAATGCTTCCTAGGAGGTAACTGTCAATGGACCGCTTGAATTTTTGCAAGTTTTGGAGGCGGAAGAACTGTCTTGTTTTTCCCCAGGCAATCTTTTCAAGGATACTTGATTAATAAATGGTCTTGTGCAATGGTGATGTGACTCTCTCCAGAAGAGACAGTGGGTTTACATAGTGCTCAGACTAACGAAGACATGGGTTAAACAGACATCTGTACTTCAGAGAAACTGTGTTTCCCAAGCCAGGGGTTCCACACTCTGATGTGTGCTGGACTCACACTTCTTCAGCCCCATGAGAGTCCAGGAGAAAGGCAAAGTGACTGGACCATGGAGTGCCTTCTACCTGCTTTCATGTGAGCAATAAAGCCAGCTGTCTCTGAACCCAGGCTCATGTCCTCTGCCACCATTCAGAAGGAAACTAAGGCAAATTGATAGCCTAACCTACAAGGTTTAGAGAAATCTCAGAACTTTCTTCATTCTTGGTAATTTTCATATTTGCCTTTGGACAAGGGACTAAGAAGCTGTCAATAAGCAACTGTGCCCAGGAGAGAAACAATCGCAATGGCCACCATGTCAAAACTCAGAGTGGCTTTAGTTTTCTTCTAAAATTAAAAAAAAAAACATTTGCAGTAATTTCTGAGTCCATTTCTGGTTTGGGTGTGTCATAACAATTTTAGTAGCTATGTAATTTAAATAGGGTGCTGCATGTCTAACTTTATTAGGTATTTTATAATCTTCTATATATTTTTAATTCCAGCCTTATCTTAAAAGAATTAAGTATCTTGATATTAAAAGTTTAAGTATGGGGCTGTTCATGTTTGGTAACCTTTGAAAGTAGCAGTAAATTGCTTTAAGACATTTTTTAAGTAAAAAGAGAAAGGGAAATATTCTGAATTTCACATGTAATGCTGTTTTTGCAATCTTTGTGATTTTCAGTGATTGTCCATTCCATGAGAATATGCCTCATCCTGTTGGAGAGCACATATGGACTAAGTTAGTTGGCATTTTCCTTATCAAAAAATAAACAAGTCTGAACGTGGGTGTTCTGTCAATCAGAATACTTAGCCATGTTACAGGCTGCAAGTGATGTACAAATCCATTACTTGAGCATAAATGCTTTACCAAAAAACAAATTAAATAGCTCTATAGCTCTTAGCCAGATGCATTGCCAAAATATGCAAAGGATGAAATATGTATGTGACTTCTTTAGGAGAAGAAATTGAAACCAAGAGCCAAATACTTCTTAGCAGTGCAAATTGCACTCAGCTCTCTGAATCCTCATGTCTTGTCTTGTCTTGTCTTGTTTAGATTGTAAACTTAGTGAGGATGAGAGAGAATCTGTCCCATTCTATATTCCATCAGCAGAACATATTGCTAGTGATATTTCTATAGCAAATAAATATTTATTACCAAGAAAATAAGTCACTTTTATGAAAAAATTAAAATGAACAGAGTCTCTGAAAGGCCTGATTCCTGACCTACTAGGAAAATGTGAAGAGACTATTGCAGCTTTCTTCCTGTTTCCTCTAATAAGATGAAAGTACCCACTTTCCTTTCCCAGGCCATGGTGTGAGATTTCATTATACAATACCTGAGAAGTTAATTTAGCTCCTTGAAAAGTGGTGTTATATAAACAGCAAATATTATTACTATCATGTGGTTGAGTTGTGTAACATTCCAATGTTTCAGCCAAAAGAATTGAGAAGGATGTTTGTAGGTTCACGGTGCACTATTCCATAAAATATTCCTCTTTTTTCTCACTATGAGATGCAACACTATAATGTGCCTATGAGGGAAAGAATGTTTAATGAATCCTGGATTCATTCTAAGACAGAGCTAGCTGCACCCTTTCTCAAGCCAAAATCATGCTCCAAAGGAAAAAAAGGCCTTTGGTGTTGCTTATCTCTGTGAGTTCAAGGCTAGCCTGGTCTACATAGTGAGTTCCAGGCCAGCTGGGGCTACAGGAAAACAAAAAGACCAAAAAAAAAAAAAAGAGTCTACAGGAGCATAGATAATGTTCAGGTGAACTAGGGCTACTCTAAATGATACTTATTTTCAAAAGATCTTAAAGAGAAAATTCACCAATTTCTCAGGCCAAATTTCCCTTCCCCATATCCAGCCATATTACTTCAATGTATAGAAGAACTAATGTTGCAAATTATTTCCACTCCTTAAATAATGATCACTACATTGATTTGCATTTTATGTCCAAGATCTCAAAAAGGTTCTATCAATATAAAAGAAATTATTCTTTGCAACAGAAACTGAGCTATATTAGGTCTGAACAAAGAAAGACTCTAGAGAAAAATATTAAAAGTCAGGCAGAGTCACAAGTCCTTTGCTAATTTCCATGCATCACCTTCTGTAGTTAGGCTTGGCCCATGCCATTTCTATAGGTCTAGTCAAATTCTCCAATATGTCATACCACATAGCAATTTTCCTTGAATAACCTACTCTAGGATATTAAAATTTGTCTCATTTATCTGGTTTTCTAAGTCCTTAAAAGATTAAACTATATAAGACAGTAAACCAAAACTCTTAAACAAATTAAGAAATTTAAACTGAACCACAGAATATCAGTTTTCCAAATATAATTCAGTTTAATTGAAGCAATCACTGTCCATCACTCATAAATCTCACTAGGGAAAACATCCATTTTTCATCGTTAAGCCAAAAAGTCACAACAAAAAAGTGCCCTTGAACAGTCTTTTATGTGTATGAGTGCTTTGCCAGCATGTATGTAAGTGCACCAGTGTGTACAATGCCCACGGAGTTCAGAAGAGGGTGTTGGAGACCCTAGAACTGGAGTTACAAATAGTTTAGCCTTCATGAGGGTACTGGGAACCAAACCCCAGTCCTCTGCAAGAGCTGTTAATGCTCTTAACTGGTAAACCATCTCGCCATCCTCCTCCCCTCCCTGCCCCTGCTTAAACGCTCTTAATCAATGGCATACTGTATATACCTGTAAGGATTAAAGAACAATATTCTTTGAAGCCATATAAAGAGATGAAAACATTTCATTCAAGTGCAATTTAGGATAGATGTGGGCAAACAATCTACAGTCAAGAAGTTTAGTTTCTTCCTAATACTGTTATTTTGCTGTCAAACTGTCATCTAAACAAATCTACAGAAATGGGCTGCTGGCAACCTTGGCCCGAGAAGGTTCTTTTTGCAATGAACAGAAGTCAGTGCAGAGAGCCATAAGTCCGCTGAAGTACTAAGAATAAGTTTTATGAGTGTTCAGACTTTAACAGGATATCTTTATCTCCCTGAGCCATGGTTCATGGAAAAACACAGAAGAGGAGGCAGAAAAAATATCAGAGCTAGTAGACTGGGAAGAAGGTGGTGAAGTGCTGATTCTAGACCTGACATGACCATTGCATTCATGAACTCACAGCTGCTGTGGTTACTGGCACAAGACCTGCACAAGACCAAGCCAGCTAAAATTCCACGTGGATGGGAGAGGGCTCCTGAAGACCCACCCCTAGATGAGTGACAGTGACAGATGCTAGCTGCTGTGGGAGAGAGAATCATTCTTTGGGGGAATGGCCACTGGCTGGTTGCCCAGTTTCCAGTGACTGGTCCCTTACCCATGCACATATGGGTAGCACGAATTGTGCTTAGTAGATTATAACAAATAAAAGAAAGAAAAGGAGCTAAATTCAATA